TTGATTTTCAAGGCCTTTGGCTGTCAGGGACCCACGTACCTTTGGGACCCTCTCCTCCAATATGTCCCCAAAAGAACAACTTGCTAATGATCCCCAACTCCAAGGAGGCCCTGCTGTCCTTGACTAGGGCAAGTGCCTTTTCAGTCCTGGCCCTGACCTGGTGGAACTCTCTGCTGAATGACATCCAGGCTCTGTGAGACCTGGTGCAATTCTGCAAGGCCTGTAAGGCAGAGATGTTCCGCCAGGATTTTAGTTGAGGAAAGCAATGGGAGGTTAAGCCTGGCACTCTCCTTTTTCTTTCTATGGCCCCCACATACCCTCCCCTGCCATACCATGCGGGACAGTGGTGTCACCGGTAAAGGGGGGGGACTGTTATATCGCTATCTGGATCAGTTTTACATTATAGATCTACTGATTGTATTTTAAATGTTTTTTACAATGGTTGTAAATCACCCAGAGCCTGCTTGCAAGGTGAGTGATTCATAAATCTAATGAAATAAATAAATAAATGTGGCACTTACAAAATTCACTTTCATTTTGCCAAAGTAATAAATTAAATTATATACTATTTGATTATTTGAATTGCACATCTGGCAGTGCTTTGTACAAGTGCTAACTCTTCAGAATTCTCAACTGGCAGTGTTCTCATATGGTGAGAGTAACATGTAGCCACACTTTGAATTTGTGTATAAGAGAATGCAGTCAACAAAGGATTTGTTCTTTCTTCAGCTGCCAGTTCTTGGGACAAACTATGGCTCATACAATTGAAAGTACATACTACATCATTAAGTCAGTAATCAGCATTGTTAGACAAGGAGATGCAAATCCTCTTTTTCCTTGATGAGGAGAAAGAGGGCAAAGCAGTCCAGGAGAGTAAGCACTGACTGCTATCATGAGAAGGTTGTAGGGATACAATTTGCCCACTTGTCAACCTGTTCTCTTGGCCACTACCCCTCTTTCTCTTTTAGAGCTACTGCTCATAGTGGCTGATGCCACTTGATCAGTGGATACGGAAACAGTGGCAGTAAACCATTTGGTTGTGCTAAGAGAAAAAGAAAAGCTGCCATTCCTAGCAGCCATTGCCATTCATGTGGCAAGGCAAGGCAATGTTGGTGTTGAACAGAAGCAGCTCCCATCACCCACCTGTCTCTGACAAAATGAGTTAGGAGACAGGGCCCACCAGTGTCCATATTGCTATCCCCCCCACACACACACAAACCTGGAGCCAGGCATCTCTGACAAATAGGGCAGGGTTATTGCAGGGTGTAGGTGAGGAGGAGGCAATTAGAGATCAATCTTTTTGGTGCCATTCTGCCATTTTATATATAATGCATAAGAATGGCATGGCTTAGGTTCTCCAAGGCTTTAGCAAAATGGGTAGTCTTGGAAAAAAGCTGTTCTGTGCTGTTTCCAGGAACAACATTGTATGAGGAAACTGGCTAAAGAAGTGTTTAATCAATTACTTGCACAGACAACCCTTTCTCTAACTGATAAGTTGTTTCTCGTGGAAATGGAAAGTCAGATCTCACTTCTTGCCAGCAGAAAGAAACATGTGCAAGTTATGTGGAACAAAATGAATGGCCTTAACCACAGTCTAGAAAATTAAGTTCTATAATTTATGGTACAGGCTTTGGGATTGGAAACATTCTTTGTACTCCAATCCTTCTCTGCTGAAGTACACAGCTATCAGAATAAAGTTGTGGCTTTTTTTATCTTTGCACCTTGCAGCTCAAGGTTCCTGGGCTACAAGAAACTTGCAACCATGAGGCCTTAGTCAACAACCTGGATCCATACTCTTGGGTGAGACATGCCAATTTTTTATTCAAGTGTTGCAGTAGTGCACTTTGGATTGGGGGGGGGGACGGACGACATGTAGGGGTAGCTCTTTCTGGGAACTGAAGGTAGGACTTCCAAGTCTGACAAGGCCACCTAAATGTATTATGAAAACCTGGATGTAAATGAAAGACATACATCCACATCACCAACTACTACTTTTTAGTAACAGTTGAAGGTGTGTATTGGGGGTACATGTACACTGATATGTGGAAAATACTGTTCAAAGAGCTATAATTGATTGAGGTTCTGAGAAACTTATTCCCTGCATATAAAATGGCCATCTCTATGGCCCAACTTTGAGAATGTCCTGAAAAGATTTCAGAAAAAAGAGAGCGAACACACAAAATAATTATTTTTTGCTTACCTCTTTTTTGTAATTTGTAATGTAGACAGTATACAGTAGGAGGGGAAATATGGAATGGTATAGTATAACCCAATCTTGTCAGATCTCAGAAGCTAAGCAGGGTCGGTACTTGTGGAAGACCACCAAGGAAGACTTTGCAGAGGCAGGCTATAGTAAACCACCTCTGCTTAATCTCTTGCCTAGAAAACCCTATGGAGTCACCATAGGTCAGCTGCAACTTGATAACACTTTATGCAAACTTACAATAAGAGAATTGTATTGTGTATGAAGAAGTGAGCTCTACTGGAATATATGTTGTTCGTTTTTAAGGTACCACCAGACTTTTCTTCTGTTGAGGAACATGCAAGCCTGAGAAGGGAGGGGGAGAAAAAGTCTGAGAAGCATTCATGACCTTCACCATGACTGCTTCCAAATGTCGATAATTTCTCAGAATGGAAGAATAACTCCTAACAATTACAGGGGGGGGGGGGGGGATTTGGAATTGTGCGTATGTAAGTCTCTCTGATTTGGTGTGGATGTAACATTCCCAGAGCTCTTAATGATGGCTCAAAGCCATTCTCAAATTAACGTTTATAATGTACACATTGGCTGCAGTCACACACAGTAAATAATCTAATTTCAATCCACTTTCAATGAACTTTCCAACTGGATTTGTAAAGTTGGAAAGTGCACTGAAAGTGCACTGAAAGTGGATTATTTAGTGTGTGTGACTAAAGCCAATGTTCTTTTAAAATTAGGAGTTACTCATGAAGATTTTGTGAAAACTAAGAGTAATGCGCATCCATGTTTCCCTTCAAAAGTCAATGCTGCTTACTATAGCCAAAGTGTTATAATCTATTTCTCATAAATTAAGCTTGCCTGCTTGGAGCTTTATTCTTAAGGGACATGTGCATTAACAGTCCTAAAGTTCATAGGAGCCTCCCACTATCAACACAAAGGAAGTGACACTCAGTGCACACTGTGAAGAAGAAATCACACAACTGTATCAGCTGCAGGATGAAAGCAAAGAAACAGCTTTTCTTTCAGCAGCTTATTTCATTACATTCAATCCTTCTGCATAGAACAGCCAATCACTTATGCCATAGCAAAGACATATGGAGCTGCTTACAACATGGGCATATTGGTGAAGAAGCTACCAAAACCAACAACTGAAATACTAGGTTTCCTACTGCTTTAATCATCTATTCTGCTGATCTTGTCTTCCGTTGTAGCTATATTTATCATCATGGCTATCCACTTTGTCCTTGTTCTCAATTTTGTCCAAAGGATTTACATTCAGATGCTGACACAGGCAGCAGAGGTGTGCGAGGCTTTTCCTGCAAGAAATGTCAGCCAAGTATCTGCTCAGCTATCATGATGAAGTGCTTCCTTTTACACAATATGAAGCATCTCACCAGCTGTCTTTACAATATAAAAAAGGAAGAGAAGGGGGGGGGGAAATGGAACATACTCTACAAGGATCAAGATCCCTAGTAGTGTCCATAGTTTGGTGGTAGAGCATATACTTTGCATACAAAAGGTCTCATTTGAAACCCCAGGATCCCAAGTTTAGAAACACTGGAATGTTTGGAAAATAGCTCTACTGGAGTAACGAAGAAGGCAACACTAGGTTGTTTGGTTGGTTTGAATCAGTGGCTTGGATCCTTCTGAAAATCTCATGGGATAGAAGGCTTTCTGAAATGGAACTCAGCTTTCTTATTTCCCTTCCAAATGCCCCTAAAAATGCTGTTCCTGAGGAGCAAGCAGAATTGGCACACATACCCTTCCCAGTGCATATTACTGGCAGGATTGAACTCATAATGAGATAGTTTCACACACAATTTTTTTTGCAAACCAAGCAGAGTAGATAAAAAATGTCAAGGAAGGAAGACAGCATATAGAAATAAAAAAGATTAAGAAAATGTAAATACTGCTAATTAGAATTCACCTTAGTTGCCATCATTTAAGTCCTAACTTCCAAAAAAGTCTGGAGAAAGTTAATTCAGATGTGATTTATCCATTCTAGAGTCTTCAAGACAGCAGGGAAAATCAAAATAGCTCATAAAATAATGTGCTTTAGTGGTGTTCAATTTAATACAGGGTGAATTGGCATTTATTATTTGTTCTGAACACACAGCACTTGAGAGTACATGGCTGAAGTTCTTCAGTGTCAGGGAACTCTGAGATCACAAGGTAGTAAATGTCCAGATTAAGGAACTGAGAAGACTCAAGTCCCCATAAAAATATTGGTTGTGATGCATACAATAATTTCAATTGGGAAATGCACTGTAAAGAAGCTTCTACTAGATGAGTGAAATTTTTCCTCATCAAGCTCTAAGGTTTCAGCACTGTTAATTTAACATAAATCTTGTTTAATATAAATCATAGTTAAATTCTGTGGGATTATCCAGAAGCCTGCATGAGTTGTTCTCTTTTTAAGAAAGAACCCTATTACAGAGATACAAAGAATGTGAATGAGACGATACTTCCAGACCATTTCTGTCAATTTTAACTAAAAAAATGAGGAGTACCAAATAATCCAGATTTATAATTACTTCTTCACCTCACCATAGATTATATTCATAGGCTTATTCAACAATAATTTTGTAATTATGGTGTGGCAGCTTTAGAGCAAGTAGCGCCACGGAAACAGCAATGGTTATATCAGCTTGTACAGATTCTTGGGAAATAACCTAATGAGGTCTTTTTTCTGTTCCCACAATATTAAACGTTATGATAGTTTCACATCTGGTTATCAGATACTGTTTTTAAATATTTTGGTGAATCCCCCCCCCCAAAAAAAAACCTTTTTAAGTTTTACCTGTTTTGTGAGAAGGAAAGTATCTGAAGCAAAGGCAGCCAATAATTAGAAAATTTTTCAAAGGTTGAGATGCTGTTGTCCTCCAAGTATAATTCTCTTAACAAAACATGATTTTCCAGTTTGGGGAGCTAAATATAAATTAGTAACATATTAGAAGTACACAAGCAAGGGACCTCCAAGGACTTTTGTGGGACATCTCTTATTTCTTTTTCCCATTATTTCCTCGTTCCCTTTCCTGAAAGCCCCCATAGCATCTCCCCTTCTCTCCATTCTATCCCCCAGCCAACTTGCCTTTATCAGCTTCTCCTCATCTTCAACTTTTCCTCCTTCCCTTCTCTTGGCAGCCTCTGCCTGGAAAAGCTATGGCCCATTTGCAGTGTTGACCAACAGACTGGGCCCAGTTGCATGGTGCTGGCTGCCAGGCCAGGCTGAGTTTCACAGCGGAGATCCCACAGGGACTTGCAGGGGGCACCTAATTTCCCCTGTATCCCTTTCCCCAGACTACTTCTTCTTTCCCTCTTCCTGGTAATCCTCTTATCCCCACATTTTGCTGCTTACTTCTCTCCTTCGTACCCCCCCAACCAATCCACTTTTTATATGCCCTCCCTTCTGCAGTTATATATATAACTTCATTTATACCCCACCTTTCTTCACAATGGGGATCCAAAGAAGCTTACATCATTCTCCTCTCCTCCATTTTTTCCTTACATTAGCTGATAATGTATAACTGGACCAAGGTCACCTCACGAGTTTCTATAGCAGAGTAGAGATTTGAACCTGGGTCTTCCAGATCCTGGTGTGAAACTGTAACCATTACATCATAGTGGTCATTGGGTGGCTGCTGCTGAACAACTGAAAACAAGCAAGGTCTGAGTTCATAATGCAAGTCAGGTGGTAGCAAGTTAGCTGGCGGTTGCTGCCAGGCATAGCATCAATTAATGGTTCCTTAAAGGCCAGAACAGCCCTGGAAAAGGGCCTGCTCCCTCTTCCTGCCTTTTCCTGACAGAAACCAAGGCTTGAAAGCAAGGAATACTGTTGCAGTTGCTTAGAAATGGCCACTTATGGCATTTGTTTCTTAAAGCTACAAATGCTGCTTATTTTGGGGTGTTTAACCCAATTTTTATTTCTTTTAGATTTCAGATTTTTTTCAAGCTTGCAGAAATATCAGTCTTGTCTGCTCACGTCCTGAGTTTCTGGATTTTGGCCATGTTGAAAATTAGATATATTGATTCCTGATGTGGCCTCCAACTGTGGATACTCACATCCAGAGACTGAAGCCAAGGACAGACAGAAATTTCTATAAATTTGAAAAACACCCTAGGTTTGCAGAAATGTCTGAAATCTAAGAAAGAAATACATGGGGGGTTACTCCCCTTTGATAAAAATAGCTTCAAGAAATGGATGCCCCCAATAGCCTTTCCTAGATAACAACACAGTATTGCCAGCCTCCCATGCTCGGTTTCTGTCAGTAAAAGGTGAGGAGCAGGGGGCAGGGCCCTTTCTAAGCCTGTTTTACCTTTTAGGGGAGGACATATGGGGGCCAAGCACAACACCAACCGCTACCTCTTGAGTTGCATCATTCACCCAGGCCCAGGCACTTGCTACAGTTCAACAGCAGTTGTACAGCAGTTTGCAACTCTATCTTAAGCACTGGGCATATTTGCAGTTTTTCTTACAGAAAACAAGCTAAGACATTATACTTTTAAATTCTGCTAGTTTGCCAGATACTACAATTTCATATGCTGTCATAAAGGATGCATTTCATTTCACACTAATCCACACAGTCCGCTAACCAACACAGGTTTCAAATCCTAGTTAAAAGGGGTAGGACTAACAGTGGTAATGTGGGCACCAATGTGATGCTTGATCATGATCAAGGATGGCAGAGGAGGGATGAGAGGAATTAATGAGAGACATGGGAGTGCACAGAGACTGCTCCTGATCTGCTAATGACAATTAAGAGATTATCAATTATGACAATTAATAATTAATAATGACAATTAAGAGATTGTCATTTGCAAAGGCCATAGAAGGGATGTAATTGGGCTGGTGATATACCGAATAAACTAAACTGAACATAGAAGGGAAGATGTCTCCATCCTCCACAACGAAAGTTATGATTGTGCTGATTTCCTAGAAAATTGTTGCCTGCACAAGCCCTAAGAAATAGAAAAGTAACATCATGATATGCAACAGCAGTTTATCCTCAACGTATCAGTACTGCAGTTACAAAACACATTCATATGGAACACAAGTCGTAGGGTGGGGGAATGGGCATTACACAACGTGGAACTGACTGGACTCCACTTCTATGTGACCTAATTATACACAAACATCAGTGTGCCTCCTATGGACATATATGTATGCAGGCAGTCTAGTTATGGCTAAAGAAAAACAAAACCTGGAATGATGGCTCTATTTGTTTCCATTTGGTCTTTTCAGCATGCCCAGGAATATTAACTATCATTTTGGATGTTACTATCTGTCCCACTGATGGCGACTTTCCCCTTTACTGATGTAAGAGACTGTTCTGGAAAAGCTTTTTGTGTCAGCAACAGGCTACTTGCATCAGAAGAAAGAGCTACGATTAGTGGGATTGATCTGTAAGATCCAATTTACTGTATAAATGTTGAATTTGCTATGTGTGCCAATTCAGTGTGGTATATTAGTTAAGAGACTCTGATCTGGAGAATTGGGTTTGATGCCCCACTTTTCCACATGAAGCCTGCTGGGTGACCGTGGGCTAGTCACTGTTCTCTCAGAACTCTCTCAGCCCCACCTACCTCACAGCAATGCTCCCTCTAAGCTGTGGAGTCTTGTTTTGTGAGCTACTGGCATTAAAGTTGTGAGTGAGCAATTTGGCTACTGCATAAATTAGTTTGCTCTGGAGCCGTCCTTCCTGAGCTAAGACAAAAATGTGTGAGCCGGAGGCTAAAAAACTGAGCTAGCTCACACTAACTCAGCTTAGAGGGAACACTACTCACAAGGTACCTGTTGTGGGGAGAGGAAGGGAAGCCAATTGTAAGCTGCTCTGAGACTCCTTAAGGTAGAGAAAACTGGGGTACAAAAACAACTCTTCTTAATAAAGATTGTTTGGTTGCCTGATTGCACGGAGAAAATAGCCATCTTTTGTTTTCTCGCTTGCTTGTCTTGTTGAATATGAGGGTTAAATTCTAGGAATCAAATTATTCAGGTTAACTTTTTTTCCATTTTGCTGTGGGTTTTGTTCTTTTAGTCTTTAGTCCACTTTAGGATACAAGTATAACATATGTATAATCAGGGGTCTTGTTGTAGAAAAAGAGCTGCCGGAGCTCATTAGCATAACTCATTAGCATAACTTATTTGCATATGCCACGCCCCCTGACATCACCGGAAGTGACAGAAGGCCACACCCCCTGACATCACCGGAAGTGTGTCAGAAGGCCCGGCTACTTACCCTCCTGCTTCATCCTCATTCCCAAACGGAATGAGGATCGAAGCAGAGGGCGGGGTAAAGAAGGGGGCGGGGCTTCACCACGTGACCGCCCCGCCCCCTAGAGGTTCTCTTCCGGAGCTCCGTACCTGAGAGCTCCCCCCCGACTAGAGCCCTGTGTATAATGAATGTTTACCAACTAAAACTGATGCATTACTTTTAAGACTGATGATCAGCTGACACTTAGAGTTCAATTCACAATACATCAATGTAGGTCCAGTCTAGAACCCTATAGCAAATGTCATGATGTCTCCTACTTCTTTTGAGTGAATATGGCAGTTTTCTTAGTGATAGGCCCCACTGAAATAAAAGGAACTTAATCTCATACAACCGGACATAGAATCACACTCTCCCTCATAACACTATCTGGGAAGCGAAAGGAGAAAGCCACCACTGTATCCTCCTCCAATTCATTCCTTACCTCCAGCAGCAGCCATCTTAACAGCAGCTGCTGCTAGAGCAAACAAGGAATGTTTATTTCAAAAAGACAGTGGACTGGGCAATGGCTGAGGACTAGATGGATTTATTGGGGAGAGGGTGCAAAGGCAGGTTTTGCCCTCTCAAGGGGAGTTTAGAGAGAAAGTAAGTGACCCTCTGCACAGTTAGACATAAGCTTCTCTGAATACTGTAGGACTTACATTCAGGTCAACAGATGCAGGGTTCAGCTGTCACCAATAGTGTAATCCTAAACAGAGTTAACACCCTTCTAAATCCATTGACTTCCGCTTAGTCCGCTTAGAATTGCATTATTAATCTCCATCCTTCCCATACTGACTACCCACATCTGACACCCTATTGCTGTAAAATATATTAAAATTAAATTATGAACGTCATTAGAAACTACTTAACCAATCACAAAACACCCAGTTTGACATACTGGTTTTAAAAAGATTAGTATAAAATTAGCCTTATTTCTAAAATATTCAATTCTGATCCATTGTACTAATTGCACCAGATATGAACTGCAAATGTAAAATAATCCATATAAAGTCAACATTTTTACCTCATTGAGGTTGTTCCCTTGTAACTTCAAAATCTGTAGAAGACCACAGCTTCCAATGCCTTCAATGTGGGTTAAATGATTAAAGGAGCAATCTATGTATATTAGAGTTGGAGCATCAGAAAGACCTTTGGTGCTGATCAACTGATTATGACTTACAACCAGTCGCTGGAGATTTTTCAATGATTCTAAACCACCTACAAATACAATATTTAAAGTATATTAAAATGCATGCTGAAAATATTCAAAATTACAATAGGTATGCACCAACATCTTTAATACATGCTTCAATATAACTACCTTTTATAAAGTGTTTGGATGAAGTCTCTATTTTCCAGATTATTAAATGGAGACTGCTTGACCTGGAACTTCAAGTCTTACGTCCTACACAATTTAGCATATTTTCACAGGCTCAGTTGAATCTCCCAATTCAATATGGCCAGATGGCCTACTATCTTCACAACTTAGTCCAGCCTTCGCACCGTAGAGCCTTTACACTAGCCTGACTAAATGTATTCCCTTCAAAAGAGCTTTCAGGTCAGTTTAAGAAAATTCCCTTTCATGAAAGGTTATGTTCTTGTCCTTTAAAATCCGTGGACTCCATATATCATATTATTTTTGACTGTCAATTTCACTCAGTCTTATGCAAATAATTGTTGTCATCTTTATTTCCTCCTAATTATAGTTCTAATAGGGAAAAAGTTATTCAAAATCTACTAAAGGATGCTAATCCTAATATTACAGCTATAGTGGCCATGTTTCTTGCAGAAGTAGTCAAAGATAGATCTATTCTAGTAAAGGATTGATTCATATTGCTTATTATGTCTTATATATCCATGCTGTGTTATTCTACATCTATGTATCTTACTGCTATGCCATTAAAGGTATTTGATGTTGACTTTATAAAGTGTTTCACGTATTTCATTTCTGTACATTTTTAAGAATCAGAAAGCATTAATGTACCTAGCTTATACATACAAAATCAAATTCATGATCCTTCTGAAATCAGTAACAAACTTATAACTTCATATAATTCATTACATATTCTACAGCATGTGTGTGTTACAGGGCATGGAAACAAAAAGGTATCCTATGGTCTGGGGATAGGTTTAGAAGCATTTGTATGCTTTTTCTACTGCCCCTCATCATTTCCAATCTAATTGTCTAGAAATGCTTCACCAAGCCCACTATACTGATAAAGATACCTTGCATCTTGCTACCTGTTAGCAGCATGTCTCCTCTGTGACATGTTAGGAATTATGCTGCTTAATTATTTTAGGACCCATCATGATCTCTGTTGCACTGATTCATCACAGCAGATTATAATCATTGCAGTATATCTACTTAAAATTATGTTATTTTACTATTACTAGAAATCACTAAAATGATTTTTTAAAATGCTTATTCAATAAGCACGACTGCATATACAAACACAGATTTAATTGTTTTTACATGCTATGCTAAATGTAAAATAAAGTCTCTTTTATGGTATTTGTGCCTAGTATGAATGTGGTTAATGTGGGTTGTAATATAAAAAAGAAATCGACTAGAAATTCTCATCAATTCAGGTTTTTGTATTTGCATGATAGACCAATTTAAGCACAACCAATTCATGCATGAAACAGCTGTTAAGAGTTCTTCTGCACTTCATCCAATGATTCTCTTCTGCTAAGTGAGGAAATCTCTGTAAGAGGAAGTCTCCTTATGTCTGAGAAATGATTCCCTTTCTTTAGTGAAATACTCTTCATTTAATTTATTTATTTATTTGGATTTGTATCCTGCCCTGCACGAAGGCTCAGGGCGGCTGATGGAAGGGAAGGGAATCACTGGATCCAAGCTACAGCCTTCCCCCAATGCTAATTTTTGGGAACAAAACCCAGCAATCTTAGAAAAGAATCTGAAAAGGCTTGAAAAGAACAGTAGCTGCTTTAAACTTATTCCAGCAGAATATATTAGGTTGTCTAGAAACATAAAAATTAATCATGTTGCCAACCAAAGTAAATATCATAAAGTTTATATATTAACTACATTTTATAAAGCAGTATCATAACTGGAACCATGAATAGGAAAGTAACAGTCCATAATTTGTGCTGAATATGTAATTCCCCTGTTGCCAGTTGGTATACTTGCATATTCTGTCAGTGCAGTTGAACAGGCAAAATGTGTATGATTTTGTGATGGTTCTTTTGTGGGTCATCTAAAAAGATACACCAGCATGCTGCAGTCTGCAGGCCACTGGTACATGGGTGCTTATGTAACAGATTTGCTAAATGCAAAATATGCATTTTTCCCTTTATAATACATGTAGACAGGGGGCATGATGCTTTCTTAGTTGTGTAAGATTTAAAAGAAAAAGTTGTGATTCATATCTGATCTATTTTTTTTTTTTTTTTTAATGTACAGACTCGCTTTCCAACCTTTAAAATGGATGCAATATGTGTCTTTTTAAGCACCTGGGAATTAATTATTGAATACAAAACTGTAACATATAAATCAGTTGTTAAAGTTATGCAGCATATATTTGGTGTGGAATAAGGATCTGGTGAGGGGTAACCTTTGTGATGTCTGTGCACACATAAAACTGAATTCATATTAGAGCTCAGGTCAAGAAAAGGTGGTTTGCTTTAGAATACAATCTGTTGAACATTGGCGGAGAACAAAAATATATGTGGGATGGAGCCACTCACATGTCCACTACTATTTCGAGTCTAACTATTTCATGGACCACAAAATCAATAGCACATGCCTCTAATATGCTCCTATGTAAATGCAACTACACAGTGCTCCCATTTACTAAACATCTGGTGACCCATACATTTCAGGTGACCATTCTTTGAACTGGTTCCCTTTGGTTAGAATTAGATCTAAAGAAGTGATTTGTAGAAGGGAACTTTGTGCTCATGGAAGCCTGTTTGCCATTTTTACTATAGAAGTTCACCCTGCCAAAGGGACATGATGCTTTTAAAACTAAAATGCCTCTTCAGTAGTTGAGAATGTTGTAATAAAAATATTAAAGAATGCACCTTTTGACTGTGTCCTATATTTAAAGCTAAATACAAACTGTGCTTTGAATCTCAGCATATAAGTCTCCTAGCCTACATACAACAAATATTTCTAACATTAATCCAGCAAACAGCGACAGATATCCTGCCAGCCAAGTCTACATACTCAGCTGCACTTACTTCCACAGTAAGTGAGTAGAGGAATAGACAAAAGCAAGCCACAAAATTTATGTTATTACTTTCTTTAAACAAAGAACTAAGACATGAAATACACATCAGAATGCTTCACCAAAAAACACTGCGGTGCCACTCTTTAATTACTGGGAAAGAATTTGAAATCAGTTTCCAGTTTTTAAACATAAAATCGTAAATTGCTTGTTTGGATTTCTGTCCAAAATGAAAATCACCTGAGCAGCTCACTGACACCATCTAGTGGTTTCAAAACATTCTTACTCCAGCCACAAACTTGGGTATACGTATTCATCTTTTTCCTTGAAAACTCTCACTAATTTGCTCTGAAATTCCAACTTTAACAAGGAAATAGTAACCAAGATTATTTATATAAGTGCAGGCTGAAGAACTACCAGATCACTTGCTTCTTCTTTTGACATACAGACTGCATTACATATATATCTAGAAAATCATGTGAGAAAAAATAATTGAGAAAATTGAAGGTGATGTGAAATTAATTACGTCTCCAAAATACATGTACCTCTCTTTTTCATACACACTGATTGATCAACTAAATCTTTGGTTTCGTTTGAATCTGCCACAAAATCAAGAAAGCATGCAACTTTTCTTTTAATAGCTTAATTTTTACTGGCCCAAGAATGTAACACATTCTGTGGTAAGCGTTTTATGAAACTGAAAAGCTAGCGATCTTATATTAAAAGCTATTGTATGCCAACTAAAACTGCACCAAGTAAGAGCTACCACCTTACTTATTTTGAATGTCTGAAATATCTTAAGCATACTTAAGCACATTTAAACCAGAGGGACTTCCTTCTGAGTGAACATGGTTAGGATGGGACAGTTGGTGATGAATTTCAGTTGCTCCAGTAAGGAGCATGCTGCATTCCAAATATTCAACAAAAGAGCTATGAGAGAAACACTAAATAGTTAGCAAATTAATCAATGTGTTACTGCAGGCCTTATTTAAAAGAAACAGTATTTTCAAAGAACACTTGAAACCGAATAAAGTATCAACCAGATAAAAAAGTTTGGAGGACTGCAACTTCAAATCAACCAAGGGAAATTCTACAGGATTTAGAAATGGATGGGGAGGGGAAAAATCTTTTAGAACACAAGGCTATCTCTGTGTAATTCTATAGGAAGCAGTTTTTTAAAATAAAAAAAATATCAATATGTTATTGTGTAACATGAAATGCATGCTATGTAGCTTACTAACCAGACCTCCCCAAAGCAGTTGCTGAGGACAGAAAAGCAGGCTCCGAGTGGTTTTCTTGAACATCTACTTTCTCATTCAAACTCATCTCACTTACAAGTTAGCACAGTGCTTTCATTGTACATACAGACAGGACGGGAGGCTTTTAGCCCATTGGCTCTGTAGCCTTCATATTCAAGACTCATCAATTCACATTATGTCACTCTCCCATTAATCTTTCAGATACTCTACCTCAGGAAATCCATCTGAAACAAGTAATCCCTTACAGTACTACTGGCACTGAAGACAGATTGAACACAGATCCTAGCAGTTCTGCTACCAATCAATCCACCTTGTTGGTTTACCTTGGATTACTGATCTTTGAGATTTGACGAACACCAACATTCACTGTTTCAAGCAGGAGCTTGTGCCTATGAAGTCTGTATCATTTAAAGATGGAGAATTTAACAATTTTAGACATAGCTAGAGAGACTTGCTTAGCCGTTAGAAATGCATTTAAAATCCCTATTTCGCAACTTCTGATTTACCTACTAAACAGTGAAATGGCTTCTTTAACCTTTACATTTTTGTAATATTTTTGGTGGCTTAGAACAATTTATGTGCCACCATATACAGAGGTTTTACAGGCCAACCAGCTTCTTGGATACTGTTTTGTATAAAATAAGGAAGCAATACAGAGATGCTGTAGAAAACAGATACCAATGTGATATATTCACAGCTCCTTTTGTTTATTCTGTAAGAGCCTATCATTTATCTGAGACTGGGCTGCCATAGTGAAGCAGATAATGTAGTTTTTGTTTTTATTTACAGTGTGTACTTGGCATTATTCATCATTTGATTCCATGAAGTTTCAGAATCAGTTTCTTGGTATTAGATTGGTACTTTGTTTACAAGAGATTTAAATTCAGTGAAGTATTATATCACAATTATATATAACACTCTGTTCCAGGGTTCTGCCACACTTTGCTATAATTAAAATAGAGCCATGGGAAGGGCTATGAAGACAGCAGCAGGTTCAATTCTCAGTAGCTACTACTGAGATCTACATGACAGAATAAACAAGATGCAGTTCGCAACCCTGAGGTTAGTTGTGCATGCAGTGGAGGGCAGTACTGGTCCCCAGTGATTGTGACCTTTTTTGCTTAGTTTTACTTAGAACAAATACATTGGCAAGACTGTATCTTGGATCCAGTATTTGTCAACAGCTGGACAAAACTGTTCCCTTCTCCTTCTTCTGTCAGCAGAGTTGCACTGATGGAGGAGGCAGACTAGGCAATTCTGTCCCTCCCCACTGCAGCCTTCCGACACACATGAGAATAAACAGTCAAAAAGGACAGTGGGGGAAGAAAAACTGGGGAAAATCCACTATTCTTGCACCCACAGATTGCTGAGTCCTTGCGTCTTAATTCAGTCATCACACAAAACCATAGTTTAACTAAATTATGGTTAGTGTGATTGTCTGAAGGCAGGCCGTTCAATCAACTATGATTAGTAAAGATCAATCAAACCAGGATTTGAGGTGAATTCATTAGCCAAATCTGATCTTAACTATTGTTTGCATGGTGTCTGAATGCAGACATTCTGGCTTAATACAGGCTTGTTCTCTGGCAACACTCTTGCAGTCAACAGAGAGAAGGAAATGAAACTAGTATTTATCAAGCCAAGCAAGGATCTGAGTGATTGGTCATGTGCTAAGTCTTGGTTTTGCAAATTCGCCAGAGTTAAAATGAGCCACAGTTTTACACTTGTATGAAATGGACCTGTTTGTGCTCATGCACGGATTTTTGTACGTAACCCAGCCCTCACCACTAACACTGGGTTCACCAGTGAAAGGAGGAAATGGAAGCCAGTCACTTGGACAGAAATGTAGCTTGGAGCCACAGGATCCCTCGCACGCAATCTGACTTCACACTGCTGAGACATCACCCCAACATGAACATAGCTGATAGTGCTTGGATTTGTACTTCAGGTCAACCTGAAAGTTACTCTAAGGACCCTTAACTTGGGGTCAGAGAGAATGGCTGGCATGACATGGCATGGCATTGACAATGAAGAAAGGAAAGAATGGGGGCAGGAGTGACTAGGGGGTTAGGTGTGGATGACCCGGAGAAAAGAGACAGTTCCTTAACACCATAGCTTCCTCAATCTTCAAAGCAGTGAGCCCAGCAAGAAACTAACAAAGTAGCAGCAATAATAAATTAAGGCTGCAGTCACACGGAACATTAGCCATGCAAGAGAGACGGAAGACAGGCAGAGTTTCTGGGCGCGATATCACTGGCACATCTGGGAAGCGTAGCGCTTCCGTGGCACAACCAAGGCTTCCTGCCGAAAACACACAGCAAAAAACTAGTACCTCGGAGGTACTAGTTTCCAGAAACTGCGGGGCAAGGGCGGGCGTCTGATCGTGTTTCCGGTGGCATCCGGCGCCCGCCCATGTCCCCTTGCGGAAAAGGTTTTCCCCCCCCCAAGTCTCCATGGATGCGCACACGCACCCAACGGAGCATGCGCATTCGTCGTGTACACAAAAAAAGAAAACCAGTTTGCCGCACCGCGCGCTTTTTCGTTGCACGCAGGCGTGTCTTGTGATCGGCACCTCTCCCTACCCACGGAACCTCCATGGAACCTCCACAGAACCTCCACGGAAGGTGTGATCGCTTAACTGCGTGTTAGTTTGCCCAGGGGCAAACAGCCATGCTTCCCCCCCCCCCGCAGTTTCCTGCCCGTGTGACCGGAGCCCATGTAAGATATTCCACTTGATGGGCCTATGGAAAAGGCAGGACGACAAGGCCTCCTGGATCATTGGTGGGGGGGATGCATGTCCAACTAAATAGAACTAAATGTACTTGTTCATCTATCCACTGATGTTCTTTGTTTATTTAGATGGATTCCACTGACCCTCATCTGATGCCAAACCAGATGCAGATCATAAGTACAAAGAAAAATGCTGTCCTTGAGGATATGATGAGGCTTGAATAGCCAAGTGTGACTGATGCATCTTAGTATTTTGTTGTATTTCCATGATGTCTTGTGCTTTCAATGCCATTAAGGGTTTTGTGTGTGATATGATTTTTGTTAAGCAGCAGTTTTCAAACTTCACCGTTTCAAGGGACCCTTTCCACATTTACACATCTGCCTCCATTATTAATATTCTATGAAAACTTTTTAGGGAACCTGGCATTGGCCAGGTTTGGGGCTTGCTACTCAATATGATAAAAAATGTCAAGTACTCTCAGCATTACAGACTGCAGGGGAGGTTTAAAATAGTAAGTATAATGAGCCCCTGCTACTTTTCCAAACAACCTTAGCATGGCCCCAGAACACTGTCTAAAAACTACTGTTTGCAAGTTTGCCAAGACCCTCCATTTCATTAATTCGTCTTTGAGAATGGGCCTGACACCTGTTCACAGAAAGAAGTTTTATACACATTACCCTGAGCAATCTGCCAACAGAACATAGAGAATATCCTCACTTTTCCCTGGGGCCCAAGCAAAATGAAGCCCCTCCCCCATTTCATGTTTAAAATTTATATTTTTAACCATTAAAAATAAAAGATTGAAGAGACTTGTAGAGCACAAACTTGGAGTGGGGAGAAATTTTAATTACACCAAAAATCTCATTTTTGTACATCAGACTTACCAACCTATTAACAAAGTACACACGAAAGCTCATACCTTAAATAAAACTTGGTTGGTCTTAGAGGTGCCACTGGACTCAAATTTTGTTCTACTGCTTCAGACTAACACAGCTGCCCACCTACTAACAGTTAGAAGCTCTACTATTTTATTGTTATAAACCATCACTGTTTCTTACCAATTCGAGCGATTTTATTGTAGGAAAATTCAAGATTCAAAAGATTACTGCAGCCATATAAACCATGAATGGATGAAATTCTATTTTTGTTCAGAATTAGAATGCAGAGATTTTCTAGATTCTCACAACTGATTGTCTGAATATTGTTCTCCTGCAACAAATTAAAAAAAAGACAGATTGACTAAAAATTTAAGATTACCAACTTTAGGATGAGGCCTGGAGTTCTCCCAGAATTACAAATGGTCTACAGACTACAGAGATCAGTTTCCTATAGTATTACATCCCACTCAAACTCCCTTCCATCTTGAAACTCCATGGTCCCCAGCCACTGTCCCTTAATATCCAGGAATTTCCCAAGCTGGAGTCAGCAATCCTACCAAAAATACTTCAGATAACCACCACCACCCTTCCATAAATTAGCTGTTTCTCCAGTGTTACCATTATTTAACTAATGTTTACAAAGTCAGAAACAGGACTAGCTTCCAGAACATCAGGGTGTGAAGCTGGCAACAACAGAAGGTCCAATTAACCAAGAACTGCTGCAGAGCAATTTCCGTAGACTGAGTTTACACAGCAGCTTATAACCCCCACTTCAAGCATCACATATACATACACACCTTGTGGTGATGCATTGGGGGCTGCTCAGAAGCGGTATTTGGATATTCATTCCTACTATGCAGCATTAACCAGAGTCACAGGATATTACATTATATTACATTTTTATCTTGTCCTTCCTCCATGGAACTTGAGGTAACATATGTAGTGACCCTCACTACAGCATACAGAACTATCTCTGTACTATAATCAAGAGTTATAATCTTTAAAGTCTTACCACTATGTTCTTCTAGCTCAGTTGCTATACCCTGGTAGTTTAAGTGTAAACACAGAAAAGGACATCCCTTTGGTACAGTTTGATCATACACATTTAATATGCTGTTTTCCTAATGCAGTAAAATCAGAGAGGGAGGTGAATATTTAACTCTGCTCTAGAATGTTTTACTTGAGTGACAGGCTGCTCCTTTTCTTTGATTGGCCAGCACTAGCTGAGGGAAATATAAAATCAGCTTTATGCTGAGGGGAAGAGAGTTCATTTTGAGTTCAGCAGCAGTTAACGTTCAGTAAAGCAAAAGTTCAGCTAAAAGAGTGGATATCTGAAGAATCTGTCAGACAGGTTCGCCTTTTGAGTAAACGGAGAGACTCCTGGTCTTAACTGTGAAAAACATAACCTGAGGAAGAATTCCATCAAAGAATTCAGAGTCTAGTGTCAACTTATGCTGAAGTAAATGTTCACACAGACGCCAAGAATTGGGGTTTGAGATTTTGGTAAAGGGTGACTGGGTAGCAGGCTGAAGCTCCCAATCAGGTCAAAAGGAATAGGATTATATTTTCAGGGGGGGAAATATAAGCCCTGTACAGTTATACAGGGAATTGGCACTGAGGCAGTCCCTGGTCTGTTGTGAAAGGAAAAGGTTATAGACTACTCAGGGGAAAGAAGACACAATGATTTCAGAAAAGGGGAAAGAATTTGATACACTAAAAGAGTGACCTTTCCTGAAAACCTGAACAGTTAATAGGAAACTATATACAGAAACATGGTACCTGAAACCTAAGTACTCAGTCAACCATCTGTCACTGGTAAGAACCATCTTGTCTGTCAGCTGAAAAATATACTGTTTTACCAGCAATGTTTACCTCAACCTTTCCAATTCCTGACTACCCCATACCATTCCTGCCTCTTAAAAAAAATTATTGTTCACTGTATACAGTCTCCAGTGCCATTTCAAGGGATCTAAAAAGAGGGCTCCTGTTTTCTTCTGACAAGTTCCTATGCTGGACAAAAAACAAATTAGATTCTGTGACAGGGTGAGACATTCAGATTTATATTATCATGCTACTGGGGGCTAGCTCAGTACCTAAGGGAACTAAGAATTTTGGCGGAAAAAATCTGCCTCAGAGTGGGGAGAGTAACAGGGGGTCCATCATACCACTCATCCCCTTTGCCCTGATTTGGCAATAGATGTTTTATTCAGAACTATCAAAGTAAGTTTAGAAACATGCCCAGGTTCACCTTAACCAGGGTTAAGTCACACATTACACCAATTCCACTAGATGGGAGCACATGGACATAATACAGAAGCTCATTCCCAATTTTCAAAACTTTTTGTCAGTGGTATTTGAGGGAGGCCTTTGCACCCTTTATTCTGCATACAAATACCAAAAATAGAAAATCAAGTATTCTGAACTTTAAGAAGCATCATAGATGTTCAAGTTTGCTAGCAATATGTTCAAAGCATGCTTTTAAAGTTGTCATATATTTATAGTTCATATATGCATAATCTGCAAAAGCTCAGTAAAACACTGTAGAAGTAGGACAGAGCAGAATAACTGGGTCAAAAGACACTACCACCCATTTAAAAATAGTTTCCCCTTTAAAAGGGGAAATAAAATATTTGGTACCTCTACATCAATGTACATCAAATCTTTACAACTGCCAAGTCCTTCCAAAGCAATTAATCCACAGCGCCTGAGACTCAAGAACTGAAGTCTGGAACATTGTGACAAAGTGGAAAGGCTGCAGCCAGGTAAGTCTTCAAATGCAACCGTAGTAACCTACACGCATTGAATAAGACAAAAAATTGTTTAAATTACACATAGTACAGATAATACAAGTAACATCACAGTAACAAGTTACTCAACATCTGGTCTCCGACTGTGCAAGAAAAATATGGGAAAGAAATCCAAAATGACACCCCAGGAGAGAGGGAGTACTATTCCTGACTTTCATGCACCATAATGGAGAACACAATATACACACTGCAAATATCTCCAAATTTTTTACTTAAAGAAGTGCATTATGTCAACAATTGTTCTATCTACACCAACTTTCTTTCTATCCATTAAAACACAGCCTACTAGTAGCATCTAGCCTGTTGCAGTCTTGGAACCTGGTCAGTGAGTTGCAGGGAACTTGCATCCAGATGTTACAATTACACTGGAGTGTCCAGATGGTAGAAAGGAGAACTGCTATGATACAATGTAGTTTCAAATTAGTTCATGGTAACAGTAATACTATACAAGTCAATTAGGAAAGTAAAAAATGGGGATGCCAAGGACTTGTGGGAATAATCTCATTTCCCCTTTCCCACTATTTTGTCTTTCTTTTCACTGAAAGCCCCCATAACTTGCTCCCCTTTTCCAGTTTCCTTCTCTCCTTACCACCCACCAGCCAATGTATCTCTATCTATTCCTGTCTTAAGCTTTCCCTCCTTTCATCCCCCTGGCAGCCTCTACCCAGGAAAACTCTGCACAATTCCAGCCCCTGTGTAGTGCCAGCTGCCACCCCAGTTGTGCAGTGGGTAACCTGCAGGACATGGGGGAACACCTCACTTTCTCTGGTATCCCCCTCCCCACACTATTTCCCGTTTTCTCCCTCCTCGCAACCCCATATCCTCACCGTTCCATGGTTCCTTTTTTCCATTCCCTCCCATCAACCAACCTTTTATCTGCTCTCCCCATTTTCGGCTTTGTTTATTATTTACTCCATTTCTACTCCAACTTTCTCTAGAATACCGACCGAAAGCAGTTTACAGTATTCTCCTCTCCTCTACTGTATCATCACAACAATGTTTGAAAATCTGTAAGTGGCCCAAGGTTACGCAATGACACTTCCATGGCAGAGTGGGAATTCAAACCTGATTATTCCAGATCCCAGTCCGAAACTAACCTCTATACCACATTGGCTTTCTTGGAGTGACTGTGGTTAAACAGTAGCAAGCAGCCAGGGCAGGGTGAGTCATGCAAGTCAGGTGACAGTCAGTTGCCCAGGGGTACTAGGCTTAGCCCCATAAGTCCTCCCTCAAAGGCCAAAACAGCCCTGACCCTCCTCTTACTGACAGAAACTAAAGCCAGAAGGCTTAGCAATGCCCACTGAGGTATTTCGTTTCATAAAGCTACAGGCACTGCTTCTATTATTTGGGGGAGTTTTAACCCCCAAATATATTTTTTTTAAGATTTCAGATTTTTTTTTCAGCAACCTTAGCACTTTTCTCAGGTTTGTAGAAAAATTTGCATTGTCTGTCCATGGCTCCAATCTCCAGATTTAAGTGTCCGCAGATGGGGCCATGTTGAGAATTAGATACGCTGATATTTTCTATAATGGTCAGTGCTTCCAACACAATTAGTGTTAATTTCTTATTTGTTCCAAGGAGAAAAATCTTGTCAGTGTTGACAGCAGAAGCTGTCCATTCACAAAGATCACAGAGGACAACTTTTAAAATTTGTGTGTGTGTATTCACACACATACTAACATTACTATATATTACCTGTTGTAGAGTGTTCCAAGCGCCAGCCTGGATTATCATGGCAGCATTCAGTGGAGGCAATGAACTAGCTGAGCATTTCCGTGGTTTGCCTCTTTCAACTGTTTTCTTTCTTTTGTTTTCCCCACAAATACTTGACCAGGATTTGCATGTTTTCATCCACATCAATCTCTTCTCTTCAATAGAATCATAAGGTATGTTTGGTTTCTCAAAAGGTTTGATTGAGAGATCCCTTTTGGCCCAAAGATCATCCACTTCACTCTGACTTCCTTTTTTTGTAGGTTCTATCTTAAGGTTTTCAGATGCATAAGATTTATGTGTTTGTCCACTCTCTCCAGAACTTAACTGAACATTCATGCTAACGGGATTGCTTTGTGCTCCACTCTCCTCATCAACTATTGTAATATCTGCAGGAACAACCATTTTGATATCAAGCATTCTTGTGTTACTACCCATCTGACAGTCTGCAGTAGCTGAACCACAGTCTTCTACATAAAGTACCCCTTTCTCTACTAAGTCATCATTATTTATCTCATTAAGAAATTCTGTCTTTCCAGATGTTTGTTTTTCTCCTCCATCATTATGCCATAAACTGTTTTGTTCTTCTTTCTTTAATCTTATTTCCTGTGTCAGTTTAATCTGTTGTTTTTGCAAAATTTGTTTTCGTTCTTCTGCCGTATCCTTCTTTTGTTCATTCACCATTCCAGTTTCTCCTTCCTTCTTTGCTATTTCCAAATCTTCCTCCATGTTTCTGGCTGCCATTTCACTTTCCATTTTGGAAGTTCTCTCTTCCTCCTCCTCTACTTTTTTAACTTTTACTTTTTCTGCTACTTCCATATCTTGATCTATATTTTCAGTCACTGTTCTCCTTGGAATTTCTTCCGCTTTACTGTCCTCTTTTACTTTTCCAATGTCTTGCTCCTCCATTGTCATTTTTACTTGTTTATCTGTATTTTCAGGTTCCATTTTCCATTCGGTAAAGCCATTTAGACTGTCTTTCTCTCTCCTTTTCTGTTCTAGCAAAATTAATTGTTCTCTTTGCCGTCTCACCAATTCTTTCTTAAGTTCATATTCTCTGCATCTCTTCACCCCTTCTGCAATCTCTTCCCTTTCTTTTTCCTCCTGCCTTTTTCTCTCCTCTTCCTCTTTCTGCTTCTTCTCTAGCGCCCTCTTCCTTAGTCTTTCCTCCTTTTCTCTTTGCTCCATTTTTATTTCTTCCTGCAGGTCTCTTTTCCTTTTCAGTTCTGCTCTCCATTCTTTCAAGACAGGGGCATAAGTTTTGTACACTCGGAATGCTCGAAAGGAAGCTTGGATTTTTTGTGCAGCCATATTCTGCTGCTCCGCCATCTGTTGTCTTTCCTTTGTTCTCTGTTCTTCAAAGGCCATTTGTTCTTCTTCTATTTGCATGTGTAAATTTTGAATCAATTTCTAAACCAGAAACAGAGGAAATATTAGTACAGGTATACATCAAACAAATGGGCATTAACAGCTGCATATCATTTGCAACTGTCCTAGCAGTGTTCAAAAAGCAATTAATTGTCTTTCTCTGTTGTTGATCAAATGGGGGCAGTGTTCCCTCTAAGCTGAGTTAGTGTGAGCTACCTCACAGTTTTTTAGCCTCCGGCTCACACATTTTTGTTTTAGCTCAGGAAAGGTGGCTCTAGAGCAAAATAATTTATGCAGTAGCCCACTTGCTCGCTCACAAATTTAAAGCCAGTAGCTCACAAAGTAGGATTTTTGCTCACAAGACTCCACAGCTTAGAGGGAGCATTACATGGGGGAATGTCATTCCTGGTCTACTGTGCTATACCTGTGCAGGTAGCCATGGCAACTAGACCTAGTTTCACTCAATACAGCTTCCCAACAGCTCTAGGCTGAAGCAGATTGTTTGTGTACTTTATTAAAAAGTTCAAAAATCTCTGTCTTCCCACCTGTTCCTTGTTTAGCCAAGTTTGGACTGCTTTTTTGGATCTAAACTCATATCTGACTTTAGACAGGACAGCTGTTTGGTTCTTTGAGCTAGATGCTTTAGACTTAACAGCTGTATTAGTTTTCATCTCTGGCCCATCTTCACTATGCTCTGAATGATTTCTGAATTCTTTAGAAAGTTATTCCATTTTGTAGGGCTCTGATTTGCAAGGACTACTGAGACCAGCCAAAAAGGAGGGAGTGGGAAAACCATGATGAAATATATAAATTAATATATTTGGAACTGCAAAATGACCGGTGGTCTTGATTTATGTAGGCTATGTAACAACTACCAGTGCAATCCAATCCAGAATTACTCCAGCCAAAGATGAAATTACTGGACAGACTGGAGCAACTCGGTATAAGATTGTTTGGTGTAATTTCTGCAAAAAAGTGGTAGGGGCTGGGTCTGCCGATGAGTTTCTTCATTTTTGACAAAAATTGCACTGATGTCATAATAAGCAACTCTTGTCATATGCCAGCATAAGATGAATACAGAATACTCCACTCCTAAGCATGTCTACTCAGATGTAAGTCTCATTTAATTCAATAGGTGTTTACTCCAAGGACAGTGTCCTTAGGATTGCAGCCTCAGTCTTGCTGGACACCTTTATTTCCCTTCCCCACCAGAACTTTTGTCCCTTTATAGGAAAGAAAGTGGGTATTTTTAAGACAACTAAAGATAGGTCTTTGATGAGATTTCATTTGGTCTCAAATTAAATTTTCACACAGTGCCATCCTAAACAGAGTTACAACCTTCTAACTCCATTGAAATCAATGAGAAAGATGTAACTCTGCTTAGGATGACACTGCTAGTCAGAGAAATAATGATTATGATACTGTACTGATAGCGTCTTGCCAGGTTCAGTTTCCCAAACTCTACTTTTGGATGTAAACTATGATTGTACAGCAGCCATTGCAAAGTCTTTGGCAGTTGCTTCTTCTAGGCATAAAGGGTTAAAGTCAAATTAAAATTCTTTAGAAGGTATGTCACTATTCTATGGTTTAGGGTTGTTCAAGACCTTGTATCCATGGACAAAAAGGGGATAGAAAGGAAAAAAGAAAGACTGTATTGATAGAATTCATTTTTAAAAACACATAAGAATGTAATTTAACGGGGCAGATGTATTTTCAAACATTCAAAAATTAAACATCAAGGACTGCCTATATAACTATAATTCTAATGAAAAGGGCCACTTTTAGAATAAGTCTCAAATATTTAACCACTATTTGAATTTATACAGACCTCAAGCCTTACATTTTAGAGCAGTTATATGCATTAATGAACCTGTAATCCAGATTATAGTGGCTCAGAGGTTGACACTGAGCTGCAGACCGGAAGGTCTATAGTTCGACAGTTCGAGACCCTAATGCCGCATGACAGAGTGAACTCCTGTCTCTGGCCCCAGCTCCTGCCAACCTAGTAGTTCAAAAGCAAGAAACTGCAAGTAGATAAATAGTTACTGCTTCGGTGGGAAGGTAACAGTGTTTAGTCATGCCGGCCCCATGACCACAGAAACGTCTTTGGACAGCACTGGCTCTTTGGCTTAGAAACTGGCTTTCGAGCAAGGGAATTTTTACCTTTAATGCAGATTACAGCCTTATTTTCCCACACAGAGACCATAATGCCAACATTTAAACTTAAATTTCAGTTCTAGTCAAGATTCTTGCATGTAAATTACGTTGTGCTGTATCAACTGTTCTTTCCATGCCTCCTCCTCTTTTTGCAGTGCCTCATCCAAAATAGCTTGTTGTTGCTGCACAAAACAGAGAACATCACTATTATCACTTTAATGTACTTCAGTAATATTAATGATCACTGGAATATTGCAGTCACTTTAATATGCTAATATATTATAAATACTGCTTCTGCAAATCACTTTGCAATCATTGTGTTCTACTGGTGGAGAAGAGAGGAGGAAAGTTTTTATGCCTGCTTACAAAACAAAGAATGAGCATGCGCGGTACAGCGTGGCAACAGGCAGACTCTCGGAATGCTCCGAGCCACCCTATCCCTTTTTCACCTCGTTAGGAGCCCCCTGGTTTTGGGTGGACTCTGCCCGACCTCCCGGAGAGAGGGCTGGCAGCTGGGGGCTTGTTTTGGCCCCTCCTCGCTCTGGCAATGTGAGGGGGGTGTTCATATATGCCCCGAAGCAAAGACGACTTGCGGAGTGGAACATGGTCGCCATGTTTTCCACATAGCCACGGCCATCCGACTTTTTAAACTTTCTTTAGTTGTTTCGTTGGATTGAGAGATACAGCAATGCAGAGTTATGGAGGAAGAACATTGAGAAGGGGACTGTAAGTACATACAGCTTTGTGTTTTGTGAAGAGAGGATGGCTAGAGAAAGATTCCCGAAACTTTCCTCCCAAAATGGAGAAGAAGAGTGGCCAGAGAGCGAGTGGGAGTAAAATACGCGATCACTGTTGTTTTTATAATTGCATCTGGGGAAACTTTGGCTTTCACACTTTGGTAATGATTTAAAGTTGACATGAAGCAGATGAATCAGATCGTCTAAAAGAATATAAATGAATTAATTTGAAGCTGGGGGGGCGGGAAATGGCATCCGCAACAAAGGAAGCGGAGGAGGAAGAACTTGATGAAAATACATTGGTGGGAGAGATATCGGTTGAACAATTTTTGAAAATATTGAGAGAATAAAAAAGGGTATTGAAGAAGCATGTGTAAATTTACGACAAAAACTCAACTAGAAACAGAAAGTAAAGAAAGGAGAATCTACTCAGAATGATATGAAGAACCCAGAACATCAGGCTGAGAAAGAGAGGTTGAAATATTAAATCTACCAACCCTAATGCTGGGAAAGAAAAGAATAAAGATAGAGACATTAAAAAGGAAAGTGCAAAGAATACTCCCCAAAAGAAAAGACAAACACAGAAGGAGAAAAAGGCGATCTGCGAGTAAATTTAAAGAGGACAGTACAACATGTGAACAGGAAGGGTTGAGGGAACAAAGGAGGACTTGAGAAATAAATTGTCATACCTGCAAAGAAAGAAGGCACATTGACATGTTGTTACAAAAAAATAGATTGCAGACTTACAGGAGAAAAATTAAGTTATATGGAAGAAATGAAACGGTTCTTTTTTCTCTGATAGGTTTTGCTGGAATGAATTGACCTTGAAAAAACTGGTATAATTTAAGATTAGTGCAATATTTAAGATGCTGTGGGTGGGTAGGTTTTAGTTAAAAGGTAGTGACTATAGTATGGGTATTAGCGCCTTAAGAATTGCTCTTTGACAGGTTTTGTTGGAATGAATTGACTCTGAAAAGACTGTCATGATTTAAGATTAGTATAATATTTCTGATGTTGTGGGTGGATAGGTTTTAGCTAGTTAGAAGGTGGGGATTATAGTATGGGTGTTATAGGTTTAATTGGAATGAAATAGCACTGTAAGAACTGGTATGGTTTAAGTTTAATTTAAAGCCCACAGTGCTAAGTGGGTGCAGATTTTTAGTTGAAGGGGAAGGTTATAGTAGGGATGCTTAAGTAAAACAATTCTACTAAGATGGTACGTAATTTAAATTAACTAATACAAAATTTAACAAGATAAAAAATTAAAATTATAAAAAATTAAAATTCAAAAATCAAAAGTAAGAAAATTAAGGTTAATGGAGTAAACAAGAATTGTTAGTCCTTACTTTGAGATGATAAGGTAGATGATGAAAGTCAATTTGTTACCACTGTCCTTAGACAGTGCAGCCAAAAAGTGAAAGTAGTAGTAATATCTTGGAAAATATCTTTAGTTGGTGTTTGCACTCAGTTCGGAGTTGTTTTTGTAAGCTAGATATGAGAAAAACGTAATTTTTTTGCTCTGTTGGATTGTTAATGGAATATAGTGAAGATGAGTGAAAAGGGACAAATAATATTTAATTAACTTTTGAAAAATTGTGAGATCCCTATCCAAATAGCATAATGACTGTTGAGATTTGTCAGAAGTAATTTATATAATATTTATGTAGTTAACTATGTAGTTAAAGCCAATTTGATAGAAATGTTCAAATCTAATTTCAGGAAGATGTGTTTGCTGTATATGGAAAATAGTGGTTGTACATGTATACGTTTGTGTTTGTCTGTTTGTATATGTGTTGTGTTTATCATCCTTAAAACCCAATAAATATATTGTTAAAAACAACAACAACAATGTGGTTTGGTCCCCCTCACTAAAGTAACAGAAAAGCTGTTTTGGGTAAGGAAACTCTATGCATGCACTGGAGCTCCTGTGTCCAGAAGCTAGCTGAGGGCATATGAACTTCCAAAGCCAAACAATAATGTAACAATTTCATTCTTCACAGTTCCTCAAAGTTTAGGTCGGTATGTTCAAGAGATTCATATTGATACTCTTTCAGGGAGAGCCATGATTTCTACCATGCCCAGATCTCCATTGTAGCACAAAGACCAAAATGATGGCTATGAATCTGCATATATGTATGAGAGGATGTGCAAAAGAGAAAAAGCTGGAGAACTATAATACATACAAAATCCAACTGAAGACAAAGCTCTGGGTGTCATTCTGTAGAAACTGTCTACTACTTTGTTGGTACTTCATTATTGTCAAAAATAGAAGCAAAATATGAAAATACTTTACTAATAATACTTATTATGATTTCATTTGTAAATTTAATATGATTTCATTTGTAGCCAAAAAAGCTGATTTCTAGAACATGGCTCTCTTCCAGTAAGGTGTTTTAAATATATAATGTACATTACTGGTAATAAAGGCATATAAAATACCAGAGAGTTATACATACTGCAAAGATGTAAGATAGTTGCTTAAGTTGCATCTAGTTTTATCAATCCATTACATGTACATATTATACTACAAAAGTTGATTTTATGCATGCAAATCAACAGAGATTAAGACATTTCCATTTCTAGTTTAAAATATTACCGCATGCAACATTTCTAACTTCGTCCGTTCTGCCTCCAGTTCCTCTTGCCTTTTCCGTCTCTTGTACCTCTCCATCTCATTTTCCATTTTTTCCATCTCCCTCTCCTCTTTCAGCTTCTTTATTTTGTCATCCTCAACTTCTTTCTGCTGTTCCAGCCAAATTTCATATTCTTGCTTGCATTTTGCCTCAACTTCTTGGAAACTAAAGCTAATGGCCATGTCATTGTCATCTAGAAGAAGTCATTTGTGTCAGTTTCATAGCACTGAAAACATTGATCCTAACAATAATGGGTTAGACAGCTTAAGAAAAATTTAAGGCATACACACCATGTAATCAAAATGACTATTTCTGTCTATGGTAATTTCATCTAGTCTACCCCCCCCCCCCCGCCCCCCCAACACACATTATTTTACCTCTCGCACCCCCCCCCCCCCCGGCCCAATAACACTACTAACGGAATAAACCATATCACACAGGGTGAAGCACACCACAAAACCAGAAACAAATTGTAGGCCCATGGTTAAATACTAGTCTAGGAGATATGGGGTCAAGCTTCATCTAAGCCATAAACTCACTATGTGGTTTTGGGTAAGTCACTGCCTCTTGGTAAAGCACTTGGCTCTGTTATTATAATAATGAGCAAACAGCAAGAAAAATATACCACAATGGAGATGTTGGTAGGATTGTGTCTATTTCAATTTGTCTATATTACTGTTTAAGATCTATAGATTATAAATCAAATATGCATGAGAAGCCAAGTTGAACACACGTTATTTTAAAAAATAAAAAACTGAAATTTTACTCCAAAGAACATGGAAGGGCATTGTGATCCTCCCCGGGAAAGACAACTTATTTTATTTTCATAGATTGAGATTACTGCAGCCCATCTCCACGTAGCAGGTGGGGGAAGTTTTTCCCTTTCAACAAGTCTACATCCCCCTGGGGGTAATCCATGGGATAAATTTAGAATCAGTCAACTCTTCCTCCACGATCTCGTGTCTGGACACAGAAACATGTTACAAAGCAGAAATTGACCTAAAATATAATAAGGTATCTAGAAGCCCTGCCATCCAATTTCTGTTATATAGGCATAGGCAGGAAGTTGAGGAGGACCAAATAATTTGGGGAATGACTGTTGCCATCAAGGACAGAGCTATTACTACCTGTTTTGCCCCCCTCCCTTCCCATGCTATGGACTGATGGCAGACAGATCTGTTATTGAGTAACCTAGGTTTAAATGGTTGTGGTATTTGATGGTGTTCAATTGTTTTTGTTGTTGTAAGCCAATTGAGTCTGCACTGAGCAGAGCAAAGTGGGCAAAATCGTACACATATAAACAAACAAAATAAATATGTTCTACTATGAAATCTCTAAGGATTTCTGTAAAACATCTTTTCGGAAATGCTCATTATTAAACCAATAGAATGAAACTGTGTTTCTGATCATTTAAATCCCACTGATCATTTTTACTCTACAGAAGTACATTTATAGAAACAAGAATTGTCCTACAGTTTGTCCTAAATTATGTCGACACTTAGCTAAAGATTGTTTTAAAAACTGAAATTCATTTTTTGTCATTAAAGTTTTTTACGCATCTGCAATCATTCTCCTTTACCCATTATAGCCCTTCCCACTTATTTATAAGTCTCACTGATTTCAATGGGTCATTTCCAATAAATGTTCCTTAGATTAGGGCTAAGCCAAATGTGCACCTGAGAATTTGTTTGAAATAAACAGTTCCTTTTTGCCCACCCCAACTTAAAACATACTTTTTTTCATTTATGTGACTATTCACAGCCATTGTTACTTCTCTGCTGATGCTATAGCATCATTTTAAAAGACTTTCCTTTTTCTCCTGCAGTACATGATCCCAGCCCAACAGGGATCATATAGTGAGAAGTGATAAGGTCATGACACTATGCAGTCAATCCATTTGGCTATTTTATGACCTCCATGGAGAACAAAAAAGCCAGTTCTGAATAAGGGAAATTTGATGCTGGAACCACTTCCTTCACTCTAAACTGGCTTTCTTTACCTCTAGTAATGTCCTCACATAGCACAACTTGATTTGATACATAGTGTAGTGACATAATGGGCAGCTATTCAGTCCCTTTTGCCTCAGTGTTTCTAAAATGGGAAGTGCTTTCTGAGCCTTAAGAAAAATTACCTGTCATTTAGACGTAGCTTCACTAGCATTGCATAACTTAGCTCTGAGTAACCATGGTTAAGACTAGGTTGCAGTTTTCCTTACCTGTCAATAAACCAGCATCAACAGTTTCATTGGAAAGAATGCTTCCATTATTGTTGACTTCATCTGCATTCTCTGTCTCTGTATCAATTTGTAATTCCTCATCTTCTATTTCAGAGAGTACCTGAACAGCAGCAAATATTTTCATAATAATTAAGTTTGGTTTTGAGTTATTTAATGACAACAATAACAAAACATAAAAAACAATTTGCTGCATGTAAAGAATGGGACTTAATAGAGTGCTCAGTGACAAAAATATAGTTAACATATTATATGTGGAGTAAAAGAAGCTTGGGAGCAGCTGGATTAGGCCCAGTCCAAGGAGCCCTGTAAGAAAAGCAACCATCTCACCAATAAAATATTCAGAAGAGAAGGTCAACAAGGCTCAGTGTGCCAGGAGAAGGTCCTGTGCATACAGTTTGCACCTGTACTTTCCCTTCCAGCTAAAAACAGTGGGTTGGATCCAAACTAAATTTTCCATCAGGGGATGGCACTTTCCTGCCTCCCTCCTCATCCTGCAGACTAATGCTGACCCTGAGGGACAGAGAACTTGAGGAACAGCACAAAAATCAAAAATCATGGGATTTTTAATTAATTAATAGAAAACAGAGAGTGAGTATAAATGGGCAGTTCTCCCAGTGGAGGGGGGTAAGCAGTGGGGTACCGCAGGGATCAGTACTTGGTCCACTGCTTTTTAACTTGTTCATTAATGATTTGGAGTTGGGAGTAAGCAGTGAAGTGGCTAAATTTGGGGATGATACGAAGTTGTTCAGGGTGGTGAAAACCAGTGAGGATTGTGAGGCACTCCAAAGGGATCTGCCAAAGATGGGTGAGTGGGCGTCAACATGGCAAATGGGGTTCAATGTGGCCAAGTGCAAGGTGATGCACATTGGAGCCAAAAATCCTAACTATAAATACACGTTGATGGGGTCTGAACTGGCAGAGACTGATCAAGAGAGAGATCTTGGAGTTGTAGTAGATAACTCACTGAAAATGTCGAGACAGTGTGTGACTACAATAAAGAAGGCCAATGCTATGCTGGGGATTATTAGGAAGGGTATTGTAAACAGATCAGCCAATATCATAATGCCGCTATATAAATCAATGGTGCGACCTCATCTGGAATACTGTGTGCAGTTCTGGTCACCACACCTTAAAAAGGATATTATAGCTTTGGAAAAAGTGCAGAAAAGGGCAACTCGAATGATAAAAGGGTTGGAACACTTTCCCTATGAGGAAAGGTTAAGGCGCTTAGGGCTCTTTAGCTTGGAGAAACGACTACTGAGGGGTGACATGATTGAGGTTTATAAGATTATGCATGGGAAAGAGCAGGTAGAGAAAGAGGTACTTTTCTCCCTTTCTCACAATACAAGAACCCGTGGGCACTCCATGAAATTGCTGAGCGGTCGGGTTAGAACGGATAAAAGGAAGTACTTCTTCACCCAAAGAGTGATTAACACTTGGAATTCACTGCCACAGGAAGTGGTGGCAGCTACAAGCATGGACGGCTTCAAAAGGGAATTAGATAAGCATATGGAGCAGAGGTCCATCAGTGGCTATTAGCCACAAGGTATAGATAGGGACTCTGGGGCAAGTGATGCTCTGTCATCTTGGTGCTTGGGGGGGGCAACAGTGGGATGGCTTCTAATGTCCTGGCCCCACTGGTGGACCTCCTGATGGCACTGGTATTTCTGGCCACTGTGGGATACAGAGTGTTGGACTGGATGGGCCTTTGGCCTGATCCAACATTGGCATCTCTTATGTTCTTAAGGGGAGTCCACAGCAGGAAAGGGAATCAGTGGAAATTGCCAGTTTAGCCTTGACCCAACCCAGTGCCTGCTTCAATACACAACAAGCTGAGTTGGGGCAAAAAAACCCAAACCAAACTATAAGTTTAAAGATATATGTTTTAAAAGTTTGAAAGTATTTTAGAGATGCCAAATTCAAATGAACTTATTAAAAATTATATTATAACATTCATTCTTTGAGAAGCAGGAAGAGCTCTACCAAACAATCTCAGGGCATTCTCTGTTTTGTGTTGCCAAAAGCTAATCAGGTCCTGGTAATTTTTCTTTTTTCCACCTGTCCGCAAAATGTTGTATTCTACCAAGCCAAGAGCCTTCTCATACAAGCTGAAATATAATATCATCATGGGTATACCAATTGTTCCCATCATATTTACATTGCATGTCTACTATTATTGGCTAATTTCCTGTCTTTAATAAAGCATAGTTGATTAATAATTAGATATTTGGATAATATATAAAATCTGATTTTGATAGATCTTTGCACTTTTATGTGGAAAAACTATTTAGCCTTCAAAAATCTTTTAAAAATTGCTTTCACTGATATGGTTATACATCTTCCGGTGATCTATAGATCCTTCAAACAAGACTGCCCCCAAAGCACTTCAATGGTTTTCTGTGAAATATGAGCTCACTTAGGCTAAAGGCATAAAACCCAGTGATACAACCTGCTGGTGAGGAAACACATCAGGGGTGCAGAGATTATCCCAAGCCATGGATTAGATAATTGACATTGAAAGAGCATTTCCGCTAGGATAAAATTAACATCCCTGTGGAGAACTGCATTTTCTTTTGATATTTCGGCTTTGCAAACTCCACATTTTAAAAACTTTAAATGTTATTCTCAGTTAGTAGAAAACATGCAGGAAGGGGGAAGTGAATTGCTTCCAAGTATTGCTTATCTTGTCAATAGCTATAGCAAGTACCAACTATTCAAAGTTTTGTAGATGGAAATGGCCCTCCTGGCTGAAGACAATAAAATGGCCAGCACACACCTTGGCTGGAATCTGACACCAAGAAGGGATACAGAGATTTGGGGGGTGCAAGGGACTAGATGGCATCTTCCTGGAGATTTCAGGAAAACATTATTTGACACATGGAGGGAGAGGGATCCATTTTGGCTAATTCCATTGACAGGAAGGAGTTCTCACACTTGAACTCTATCTTGATGACCACCATTGCCGTGTGGAGCAGACAAATGGTGACTACCTGGACAAAGTAATATGGAGCTTTTCGAACACTGCAACTTCTAAGATTAAATAGCCTAGCCTAAGACCAGCTAGAGCATATACACAATTGAAGGACATAGGATTGAATGTTTGCACCTTTTTTATCCTTTGCTTAATCCATTGCTCTGCAAAGTATGTCTGAGGACTTGTTCCTTTCAATAATCCTTATACTAATGCTGAAGTTGCCCCTGGAGTGTGGATATCTAAATCTGCACTTCGGGGGCACTTGGGGGGGAGGGAGAGGTTTGTGCACACGTGGGCCAGTCCCCACGTATGCACAAAAATAAAAAAAGTTAAAAAAAATTTCGGGGGAATGTTTAAATCCCCCCGAAAGTGTAAGAGCGTCTCCTGCGCGTGCGCAGGAGATGCTCTGTAACTGCCGCTGCCGCTTGGGAGGGAAGCGGCGAGCAGGGGGGGGCAGAGCGGCGAGTTTG